ATACCCGAAAATTTACCTATGGGATTTGAAATAATCAAACCTTTTCTTACAAGTGTCTCCCCCCTCCCCCGACCCTCCCACAACCGCCTCATTTCGCTTTGGAGCCATCAGCGTCTTCAATTTCTCTCCGACTTCCTGATAAAAATTACACTTCTGCTGACCCGGTCGCCAATTTTGACGCTTGTAAATATATTGCCCCCCTGTACTGGCCAAGAATTTTTTTTTTGCGGGCCACATCCACGATAAACCGCAACTCCGTGTAAAGAAAAAAGGGACACCTGGCCGGACAATCCAATCGGCCACAATTTCTACGCCCCTGGCACTGCCCACAAGAGCATATGAAATATTCTGCCCCCTCCCACTTTGCTGAACAAAACACGTCTGCTGTAAAATGTTAAAGATTAAGGTCTTCTGGAGCCGCGGGTCACACTAGTAAAGTTTAAAAGGGCAAAATTCCGTCTCATTTTAACGGCAACACGTTTGCCAAATCCTTTATGGGATACATTTGGAAAAGGTAGCCTCAATATTTATCGAATGATTCGTAAAGATACCATTTCTTAGGGATAACTTAAATTGCCTCTTTTGAGTGGGGATCATACAGGGGTGTCATTTCAGATATTTTCATTGAAAAATGGAGGGGGGGGGGCAACTAAACCTGGTTGTTTATTACTGGAGGCACCACAGCACATAGCAATTTAAATAAAAACCTGCTAATTCAGGGGTGGGGCAAACGCCCAACCCTGCCCTACCCAAATAACATACCTGGGATCAAGGTTCATTTTCATTGATAAACGGTCATAACTTTTGTATTAGTCAGGCGTCTTGTCAAAGGAGATTGTTCTATAAATCCTCATTCTTTTAATAAACGGAAATAAACTTTGTATTATTTTAATAAACTACAGTTTAATGCGTTGTATATGGTAGCTTGCACAGTGCTAGAAGTATCTCATGGTTCCGTTGCATGCATTAAGAGGGGAATAGCGTACCTTGGGGTTTACCGACCTAGGGGTTCTGTTTTTAATTTGTATTGCCATCTTTATATAATATGTGTTTTTTGGGAAGGGAGAATCACAGGTTTGAGATTTAGCAGCAGTGTTTATTTAAAAAATGGTTTGGTGCATTTTGTGAGGATAGCTATGTCTCAAAGTATTCATTTGTTTTTAGTCAATATAAATTAGATTGCACTTTTTCATTAAATTATGTAGATGTTGTAAATTTATTATAGGCTTCTTAAATACTAAACATAATAAATGTAATTCTAAATTTCATTACTGACATCTGATCATCACACGGGGGTTGTTACGGCGTCAAACCTGGGCTCTGAATAAAGGGCGGGTGAGAAACAATCATCACATTGAGGGGGGGGAGGGTATTTTAAGGCGAGCTGCTGTCAAAACAAGAAGGTCCACTACGAATGGTTGGTGCCATCCCAATCAGACAGTAAATGGCTGAATAGGAAATAAATTAGTTTGGATATTACTGACATCTGATCATCACACGGGGGTTGTTACGGCGTCAAACCTGGGCTCTGAATAAAGGGCGGGTGAGAAACAATCATCACATTGAGGGGGGGGGGGTATTTTAAGGCGAGCTGCTGTCAAAACAAGAAGGTCCACTACGAATGGTTGGTGCCATCCCAATCAGACAGTAAATGGCTGAATAGGAAATAAATTAGTTTGGATCCCTGGTCAATAATTTATTTTAGCGAAGAGTTTTTCGACTATGTTTACTTTTATAAATCTTCATAAGATTTTTTTTTCTGAATACAAATCTGAGAAAAGCCGGGTATGTTAGCTAATATACTTTTAAATGAAAATTCAGAATAGAGCATTTCTTTGTGCAATTTGGTGACTTCTTTGTGCAATTTGGCGATTTCTTTGTGCAAATTGGTGATTTATTTGTGCTATTCGGTGATTTCTTTGTGCTATTTTGGTGATTTCTTTGTGTTTTTTTGGTGACTTCTTTGTGCAATTCGATGATTTATATGACCAATTTGGTGATTTCTTTGTGTTTTTTTGGTGATTTCTTTGTGCAATTCGATGATTTATATGACCAATTTGGTGATTTCTTTGTGTTTTTTTGGTGATTTCTTTGTGCAATTTGGTGACTTCTTTGTGCAATTCGATGATTTATATGACCAATTTGGTGATTTCTTTGTGTTTTTTTGGTGATTTCTTTGTGCAATTTGGTGACTTCTTTGTGCAATTCGATGATTTATATGACCAATTTGGTGATTTCTTTGTGTTTTTTTGGTGATTTCTTTGTNTTTTTTTTTTTTTTTTTTTGTTTTTTTTTTTGTTTTTGTTTTTTTTTTTTTTTATTTTTGTGTTTTTTTTGTGTTTTAATTTTTTTTTTTTTTTTTTAATGTTTTGGAAAAGGATTGGCTGGCATGCAGGTATCTTAAAGTAATGACTCTTGGTCGGTGTGTGAAGTGTGTTACGTTTGTGCCACGGTATGATGAAGGTCGTGAGCATCAAGTCAAATATCGAGCAGTTCTATAAATACTTGTGTTTACTTGCTTCAGGCGATGCTGTAATGTCAGGACGTTACGTTCAGTAGAAACGAGTATGCCCGCCCCCGACATCACCCTCAAAGCGGTTGGGCTGAGTTGTCTCTCTTTAAAAAAGAAAAAAAAAAAATGTTGCTGCAATGTCTACCGAAATAAATATCGTAATATCTCATAGTCAGTCTATATCAGTGCTTCTAACAAAAATAGTCACACTAAAGATCTTAGATGCAGAGCGGCCTCACAAAGATGAAAGTGCTCAAAGTTCGATATTTAAAAGTTAAATATCTGTAAAAAAAAAAACAACAAAACAAAACAGGTGTGCGTCAGGATAAAAGTTGAAAAGATAATCGATTATTTTACAAAATATCTAACAATTTTTTTTAACAATTTCTAATATGTATAATTATATATAACAAGTAATAACATATGGAAATGAACAATAGGATTTGGGTAAATCAAGATTGATAATATTTTAGTTCAAATGTGCCTTCAAGGAACAATTTTTAATTTTTGGAGTAAAGTTTAAAAATAATGAATATAAAATAAGTAGTTGCGGACGAAAGTCTGTGCAAAATTTTTTATTAATAATAAACTGCCAATAATGGCATGTCTCACGCAAGCAGTGCATAACTACTGGGGCTAACTTAAACACCCCCCTGCAAAAAATTGCATTTTACACGACAGAGCAATGATCAGAGACATGATCAGACAAATGATCAGAGAATGATCAGAGAATGATAAGAGAAATGATCAGAGAAATGATCAGAGAAATGATCAGAGAAATTATCAGAGCAATGATCAGAGACATGATCAGAGAAATGATCAGAGAATGATAAGAGAAATGATCAGAGAAATGATCAGAGAAATGATCAGAGAAATGATCGGAGAAATGATAAGATAAATGATAAGATAAATGATAAGAGAAATGATCAGAGAAATGATCGGAGAAATGATAAGAGAAATGATCAGAGAAATGATCAGAGAAATGATCAGAGAAATGATCAGAGAAATGATCAGAGAAATGATCAGAGAAATGATCAGAGAAATGATCAGAGAAATGATCGGAGAAATGATAAGAAAAATTATCAGAGAAATTATCAGAGAAATGATCAGAGAAATGCTAAGAGAAATGATCGGAGAAATGATAAGAAAAATGATCGGAGAAATGATAAGAAAAATGATCAGAGAAATTATCAGAGAAATGTTAAGAGAAATGATGAGAGAAATGATCGGAGAAATGTTCAGAGAAGTGATCAGATGAATGATCAGAGAAATGAATAGAGCGTGTCTGATTTGTTTATTTATGCATGTCTTAAAGGGGTGCGCCTGGATATCCCATAATGCTTTTTATGGCACATCGGTTCAAAAGTCATCGATAAATGTTAGGGGAAATGGCGGAGCCATGGAGATGACGCTTTGACAAGGGTTGCGACCAGTGATGTCGTGAAGTCATGGCGTACTAAGGTCCCGCCTTAAAAGTTGTTCATGTAAGCAGGGAGATGAAATAGCTATTATTATTGTTTTATTTTTAAGAATAAATAGCTATTTTTCAAATTGACAAAGTTTGTAGAGCGCCCCCACCTCCCAGCACCCAACCCTTGTCACTTGTTTACTGCTACACTGGTATTGCAGTAGTTAATGGTATCGGGCATGCAGAGCTTCAGCGATCATTGCATTTCTTATGTTACATATGATGGACTTGATATTACATAACATGGACTAGATATTACGTAAGATGGACTTGATATTACATAAGATGGATTTGATATAACATAAGATATACTTAATGTTACATAAGATGAACTTGATATTACATAACATGGAATTGGTGGTACATAAGATGGACTTGATATTACATAAGATGAACTTGATATTGCATAAGATGGACTTGATAAAATAAATTCATTTACACTTTTTATACACAACTTGTATTACAAACGAAACATTTACCAGTGCTTTCTTGATGAAATATACCAATGCTGTGATGTTGTGTTCAGAAGTTATAATACAATTGAATGTCTCTCTCTCTCTCCCCCAGCTTTACCATAACAGTGGAGGAGAAAGGTCCATTCTCTGTCACAGTAACCCCATGCGTTTCACCCATCTCTTGGCTGCTTTTATTTAGGAGAGGTAACAACGTGATGATCACATCATCATTTACCGGTCAAGTTAATCACAGTTCTTGGCGTGTTCAGTGGAGGGTGAAAAAATGGGCTCTTTGTTTGGTGAAGTTACTTTACAAAGTTGAACGGCCTAAATCTTTAATGTGTCTGCATGAGAAAATAAAACCTTTTTTTTTAGATATTCATAAGTTAAAGAGACTAAAAGTCAACCTGCATGCAATAACAATTGTATCCTTTCCTCAATTCAATCAAGTCAAAGAAATGTAGACGGTTTCAAACTTAACGTTTAAGAATATCTTTCTGCATTCTTCTTGCATAACTTTTGTTTACCTCTATATCGCTCTACTCTCACAGGGAGAAGTGGAAATTTCAAAGAAGTCAGTCGCTATAAGGGCGAGGGGAGACGAACGTATCGGGTGACGAACGGTGAGGCGGGCAGATACCTTCTGCAAGTTATGTCCCTGGAAATTGACTCGTACCTCAAAATTTTTGCCACGTCACAGCCAGATGTGACGGTCCTGCATCCGGTCTTACCACCAGACTCCCAGGTCAAGGTCAACGTGTCGGACAAAAACAACGTCTTGTCCATTGCTTGGTCGTCGGCAGCGTCCTACAACCGCGAGCCCGTGGAGCACTGCCTCACCATTAGCAGGATTAAAGATTTCCAAACCTACTGCGGCGCCCTTGCGTACGTCAACGGCGATAAAAAACCGTGGTTTACGAGGTGGGGAGCCAAGGATGAAAAGCAGAAGATCATGGACGTGCGGAAGAAAGCCCGACCCGTGAAAAAAGCCCCCGCTAGCATGATTTTCCATCGGTGCGTATCAAACGGGACATCCTACACGCACACGGGCATCTGGCGTGGGAATACCTATTTCATCAATGTCTTCGTGGTCAATCAGAAATCCAGGGCCGCGTCGGCCTACACGGGTAGCTCGGTGACGACGAAGAGGTTGAAGAAGTCGTCGACGGTCCGCATGAGGATCGGCGAGACAAAGACTCTCCAACTGCGACAGAAGCGCAAGGTGCGGCTGGATCTGAACGCCGCCGTGCCGAGGCTGGCGTTCGAGGTGCTACCTTGCGAGGGCAAAGTCTCGTTTGAGATCTACCGCAACGGCACGATATACCTGAAAAAACGCGTGGCGAAGCGCTGGGGGCGACGCCTGATTCAGCTGGCGGGTCCCGGCGTGTACCTCTTGACATTCCCAAGGACGATTAAGAAGACTTTTGTCACCGTTTCCATTACCTCCCATTCAACGAGGTCAAAAATTTCCTTCCCAGATAAATGGGTTATTAAAGTTTTTGAAAAGCTGACCACGTGCTCCAATGTCACCCTGGCGTGGATGGTGGCGAAGGAGAATCAGAAGTACTGTGTTTATAAGAAGAAACTGAGAAACAGTGGCGCGGACCCGCATCGCAAACAATGTCTTAGTCCGGACAAGCGGCCGGAGACGGAACGGGATGTCTGCTTGTTTTCGAACGCCACCAGTGTTGGCAGGCGAGAGGTTATGAAGCACGTTGTGCTGGGTTTGAGTCCCGGGACGTTGTACAGGTTTGATGTTTTTCTAAGCCATGGGAAGTCGGCCTCAGTGCCGTACAAAAGTGTCAAGGTCAGGACAACATCTCAGTGCGGTTCAGAACTGTCAAGGCCAGGACATTTCGGTGTTCCAATTAAGTAGTGACCCATTGGAAAGAACACCTCGGTGTTCTAGCGGAGTAGTGACCATTCAATAGAAAAGTTAAGTTATAGTGACCATTCAATGATGACTGTTCAAGTCTGATAATGTAATTTTGTTGTTGTTGGTTTCATTTTCTTTAATCGCTTGAAATTATGTTATATTAAATCATGCGCAGGAAGATTTTTTTTTTATTAATATTAAGCTAAGAAAATTTAAAATATCCATTTTAAAATAAAAATTCATCCACATTAGTCTTGGACTGTGGGATTTGAGGGTGCGGGGGAAAAAGTGTCATTAAACACATCTTCCTTTCAAATGCTCTTCCATTTTAAACTCTCGCGTTAACAAATGATATTTGAATAATATAATAAGCTCAAATATTGCCTCACATGTTGTGGTGATAATGTTTGGTTTTTTTGTTTTGTTTTTTTGTTAAAACGATTTTTGAAAGGCGCGATTAATGATAAAACTGATGCGACATTTGTCGGCCTATAGAGCAAAACAAACAAAAAATGTATTTGTTAATTAATTAATTATTATAGTTTTTGATTCGGGGTAAGATTTTATTCAGCTGTCGCCATTTTGCCGATCTTTCTCGTGGACCATGCTATAAAGAATTACTGTTACGGTAAGTTACCAATTACTTTGCTGTTAGGAATTTCATGTCCTTGGGAAAATATTATGAACTTTAAGATTTTGTATATATATATATATATATATATATATATATATATATATATATTTATATATATATATATATATATAGTAGGGTTGGGGGGGGGGGGGTAGTGTTTAGTAAGTTGCATTGGTTTACATAGAAATCTCGCGAGACACATGTGATTACTGTTTTATAGAAACCAAATGTCTTACACGGAATTTGAATTTGGTAGACACGTTTCCCTGTGAACTTACCTCAAATGGTTTGAGAGAGCGATATTGTAGACCACGGCTGCCTAAGACTATTATTTAAATACCCGCTCATGTAATGACCCTAATGTGACCCAGTTTGTGACCTCATCAAGTTTAAACGCATCCCACATGAACCTCACTCGTATATCAAGAACCCCTGAACCACACGGATCCCACCCTTAACCCACATTAACCACACACGTAATCCACACGAACCCGACAAAAAATGCACTTTTATCCGCACAGCTAAGAGTATAACTTCCATGTACCCTACAGATAACAGGAAAACATAACACATAACTTGCATGTACCCCACACACAATAGGCCAAAACCGAACTCAAAACGACCATGTACCCCACACAGAATAGGCCAATACCGAACTAATACCTTCCATGTACCCCACACACAATAGGCCAAAACCGAACTCAAAACGACCATGTACCCCACACAGAATAGGCCAATACCGAACTAATACCTTCCATGTACCCCACACACAATAGGTCAATACCGAACTAATAACTTCCATGTACCCCACACACAATAGGCCAATACCGAACTAATAACGTCCATGTACCCCACACACAATAGGCCAAAACCGAACTCAAAACGACCATGTACCCCACACAGAATAGGCCAATACCGAACTAATACCTTCCATGTACCCCACACACAATAGGCCAAAACCGAACTCAAAACGACCATGTACCCCACACAGAATAGGCCAATACCGAACTAATACCTTCCATGTACCCCACACACAATAGGCCAAAACCGAACTCAAAACGTCCATGTACCCCACACACAATAGGCCATAACGAACTAATAACTTTCATGTACCCCACACACAATAGGCCAAAACCGAACTTAAAACGTCCATGTACCCCACACACAATAGGCCAAAACCGAACTCAAAACGTCCATGTACCCCACACACAATAGGCCATACCGAACTAATAACTTTCATGTACCCCACACACAATAGGCCAAAACCGAACTCAAAACGTACATGTACCCCACACACAATAGGCCATTACGAACTAATAACTTTCATGTACCCCACACAATAGGCCAAAACCGAACTCAAAACGTCCACGTACCCCACACACAATAGGCCATACCGAACTAATAACTTTCATGTACCCCACACACAATAGGCCAAAACCGAACTCAAAACGTCCATGTACCCCACACACAATAGGCCATACCGAACTAATAACTTTCATGTACCCCACACACAATAGGCCATAACGAACTAATAACTTTCATGTACCCCACACACAATAGGCCATAACGAACTAATAACTTCCATGTACCCCACACACAATAGGCCAATACCGAACTAATAACTTTCATGTACCCCACACACAATAGGCCAATACCGAACTCATAACTTCCATGTACCCCACACACAATAGGCCAATACCGAACTCATAACTTCCATGTACCCCACACACAATAGGCCAATACCGAACTAATAACTTCCATGTACCCCACACGTCACTGCTTTGTAACCCGCACATAATTGGCAATACCCCACACATAAACCGAACGTATAACCAACATGTACAACAAGGGTAACTTATAAATGCCGCACACGTGTTAATTGTTTTATAATTGCTTTGTTGACGCCATTCAGAACTGTACGTAATTCAGTCATACATCTATGCTTAATGTGAACAGGTGGGCTTCATTTGAACAGGTAGGATCTTGTGGATAGATAGGTCTGTTGTCGACTGGTAGGTTTGTTGTGGGCACGTAAGCTGAGGACAGGTAGATATGTAGTCGACGGGTGAGCTTGTCGATTGGCGGTCAGGCACGTAATAATGGAGGTGGTCATTCGGAAATGTGACGGGCAGTGAAGGTTGTCAGTTAGATAGTTAAGTTGTTGATGGCCATCTAGACCTTACAAAGAGTTTATTGGTTGATAGATTTAAATAAGACGACTACAAGTCACTATTTTATTCACTACCAGTGAGAGGGGAAGTAATCGAGTTGGGCTTTGTATACAAACTGTGCACACCTAAAACATTATTTAAATGTATTCACTCTGCTAGTGATAATCTTCAAGTCGTAAATTGGTATATGGTAATTGTGAATAAATCTGCGAGAATCAGCGTGGACGTATTAAAGTGGATAACACTACAACGAGATGTACGAGTTGCGTCTAATCCAAACAATACAGATATATAACAGTCACTGGTATATATATTTCTATATATATCATAAATAATTGTATATACTTCTACAAATTTTCTGTGTTCGTCAGTGTTATGACATCAGCTGTATTATAGTATTATTTTTTCCCTCAATGTTGTTTTTTTTTTTAATTAAAAAAAAATGGTATGTTTACTAAAAGGAAAAAAAAAATCGTATTGTTTGCTGGCATAATCAATGTTTTAAGTGATTTGTTTCGTTAAATTCATGGTTTACAAAATAACAATGTCGTTTCCTTCATAAAAACTATCACCGAGCTTATGTCTCGATCGACCCCCCACCCCCTTCTCTTTCTTTCAGAAATCGTTTTAATATGCGCACATCCATACATTCATGTTGATGTTGATGTATTTTTTGTAACAGTTGATGTTTTTGACGGTTCATTATACAAAATATTTATAAATATTTTCATACGCAATTTAGAAGGCGAAATATTTATAACATTATGTCAACGCGATTATCCTGTTTCGGTAAATTAGTTGTTTATTTGCATTATCTTTGTTTTCGCGCATTATAAAAATATGTTTCCACCATCATCCAATAAATGGTGTTTTTTTTAAATTTTATTTAGGGCCGAAATTGTTTATTCATTAGTAAGTTCATCTGGTTAATCTTTTCTTGTTTTTAAAATGTGTAATTTATTTTGAAATGACTATTGTTTTGTGATAATCTGAATGTCGTAAGTGACCATAGTATTTATTTATTTGTATTTGCTTGTAAATATATATTTTTAAAATATTTGTTATTGTTTGAAGATGAATTTTGATCAATGACCTAAATATTACCATGACTTATAAAAAAAAAAAAGTATGTTTTACCCAACTGACACGTGATAAATCATAGGGCCATTTCTGCGTGATAAAGCCAAGGAAAGAACAGCAATCAGCTGATCTTAACTCTCTCCTAAAGCTTTACAAAACAGCTTGTTTTTTCAGCATCCGAGATAATAATACTAAATAATTTATTTCATGATGTTTAACTTTGCTTTGATTGATTATCTTTATGGCATGGCTTTGTATTTGAGCTGTGCATCAGTAGTTTACGTAATTTAATTACCACTTTTTCTTTGAGGTAAGTCCTAAGTTTTGTAAAACAGAGTAGTTTTGCTCGTGGATGTCGCCTACATTTTAACCCCCCCCCCCCCCCCCCACACAAAAAATGGATTGGTTCCAAAATCATGTTTTTTGTTTTTAAACTCGATTCCAGTGGGTCAAGTAGGGCTAATTAAAACAAGCCCCCATCAGTTTGTACATTTCAAATGTATTCTTTTTATCTGAATAATTCCTTTCCTTTCCTTTTATGGTATAGTCATCCAAACCTTGTTTCCTTAGCCAAGCCATGACAACCACAAATTATATGACAGCGTACATGATATTAGCCAATTTTTTTTTCCTACTTGCTCTCAGAAAGCATGTAATTGTTATTACCTTGGCGGAAACCGTGATAACCCGCTGCTAAATGAAGCATGAGTTGACCTTACGGTGCAACATAATGACGAAATAAAAAATACAAAATCTCGTGTTACAACGGTACATCATTTGAGCTGCCAGACGGTAGCCAACACTAAGGTCAAGGTTCAAATACACTTTTTAAACACTTTCCAGGTCGGACAGATTTTTTTACGCCACCATGTAAACCTTCTAAGCCAGCGGGTCTCAACCTGTGGGTCGCGACCCCTTTGGGGATCGAATGACCCTTTCACAGGAGTCGCCTAAGACCATCGGGAAATACATATACTCTACAGTGATGAAAATAATTTATGGTTGGGTCTCCACAACATGAGGAACTGTATTAAGGGGTCGCGGAATTTGGAAGG